TTTTTTTTTTTTTTTTTTTTTTTTTTTTTTGTTAAGTTTACGGTTTATATGCCGCCATTTTGTATTTCAGCTTCATAGGCTTCGCGTTCTTCTTGTTCTTCATCGAATTCAACATCATCATCGGCGGTTGCCTCCTGCAAATGTAAACAGACAAATAAACAAACAAGAAAAAATCACAAAAAAAAGTTACGGTTCCTGCCAGAGCAATAGCACAACAACAATAACAGCAAAAAAAGAAAAAAAACAAAAGTGAAAAAAAAATGTTTTTAATTAAATGCAATCGACTTCCGTTTTCTGTTAGCATGCTATACGCACAAATTCATACATAAACGTGCACACACACACACACGTTCAATTCACATTTGCTGCTTAACACATGCAAGGTATAAGCAAACAAGTGCGCACCTAGTGGGTACATACACGCATACACACACATGCACACAGGCATACGAGCACTAACAAGAAGTTGCTTTTGGCGATTGATAGCAAACAACAACACCGTACTGCGTACACAGAATGCAAAATTATTATTATGTACATTTTTTGGTGCTGTTGTTGTTGTTTTTGCTTTGATCGAGCTGAAGCGAACATATGCGAAGGCATACATACATATTGCCTTCTGCTCTGTGCATACCTGATACTGTTGATATTCCGAAATCAAATCGTTCATATTCGATTCAGCCTCTGTGAATTCCATTTCATCCATACCCTCGCCAGTAAACCAATGCAAAAACGCTTTACGACGAAACATTGCTGTAAATTGTTCGGATATCCGTTTAAATATCTCTTGGATGGCGGTGGTGTTGCCAATGAAAGTGGCTGACATTTTTAAGCCACGCGGGGGTATATCGCAAACAGCTACTTTCACATTATTTGGTATCCATTCGACAAAGTAACTACTATTCTTGCTTTGAACGTTGAACATCTGTGTATCGACTTCTTTCATCGACATGGGACCTAAGCAAAGCAAATAGAAAAAACAAAAGCAAAAACAAAAAAAAAAAAAAAAACGGAAAAAACAACGTTTCATAAACGGCATCATGATCAAGTTTATTAAATGAATTCATTGCAAAGTTCTTGTGTTTGTTTGTGTTTTAGGCAGGTAGACAATGCGAACCAATAGTATGTTGCAGTTTACATACATGCGTAGACCTATGTGTTTGTCATATAAGGCAAACGCAAACAAAATGACAACTTCTTCTATAGGCATGTCCTCTTCCCTCTCTAAGCAAATGGACGCTTATATTAAAGACAGAAAATTCGAATACATCGTTCGAAAATATCTCCAAGGCTAATTAAAAAGAAGTACGTAAAGGACAAGAGACAAAAAATTCGATGCTTAAGGAAAATTATCGGTAGTTAATTAATTCAAAACCTGCCTGTTGCTTAAATCTTTAATAGGAAAAAAAAAATGTCCAAAACCTTTATTCAGTAGCGCGCTTAAATATTTTTAAAAATAAAAAATTCTTGCTCTTTGAGGGAAAAAATCGTTTAAAATCCTAAAAGCGAAAAAATCAATGCTGCACAAGTTCCTGAAATCGAAATTTGCCAATACACGGCCATAGTATCATGTGTAGAGAGCATATATGTCTTAACTTGAGTTCTTTTATCCTCATTGCCGAAGGATGAGAAGTATTCTCACTTTCTCGACACGTTCGCAATGCTTAGAAGAAAGCCTCAGAGCACCTACAAAGTATAGAAACTCTTGATCAGCATAAAATTCTGAGCGTCTGTCCGTCTGTTGTGTAATGTCTGTTTTAAATACTCTCCTGGCCGCAAAAATGAAGTCGTCGATTTCGAATTTAGAAAAAGCATTGGAAGTTGGCATTGAAAATGAGTCAAATCGATCCACGGGAAATTCTAGAGTACCACGTAAATTACGAACACCTCTGATTTTCGAAAGGAGTTCAAAATTACGTTTTTGCTCTCTTCTCTTAAACTGCAGCAAGCAAATACACTAAAATCTAAATGTGTAGCCGCTAGGCAAAACTTGACCACGCCTACCCAATATTATAGTGTATAAAAATCTATTTTTTTTTTTCAATATCTTTATAAGGTTCGGAAGAAAGTTTCAAAAGCCCCATAGAGTCTATCAATTCCTGGAAAGTTTCAAGTCCGTCCGCCCAACTTTGTACTATCTGTAGTGAACATTCCTTCATTTGTAAAGAGGAACATATCGCCTAGAAATTTGCAAATAATCTAAATGGTCAAAGGACACGACTTAAAGCACTCACACATCTATATATAGCGAAAACTGTGAACGCCTTTGGCTTGCGTGTTTATTTTCTTGTTATCCCTAAAGTACTTTTCACTACCATTTCGAGTTTTATTCTGAACGTAGAAGAAATCAATCGCGCCCACCCAATTTTCTAGAGTATGAAAATTTAGTTCTTTTGCTTTATTTCAGAATCAGAATGATGGGTGTAAAAAATTCGGTCGTGACCGAACGTAATTTTCTTATTTGTTTATTCTTCCATCTCAAATCTGGATCGACTATTATTCAAATAGAAAATTTTGGGAATGAAGTTTTTCGCCAGATACTGACAAGCAACGAATACGCCTTTGTTCGTTCTACGTGGCTTTATCCTTATTTCTCTCCCTCTCTCTCTCTCTCTCTCTCTCTTTACGATTTTCTAGTTTTCCATCTCAAAGATGGGCCGACTAATGGAAACTAAAATACAAATTTGGAAGAATGAATTCAAATCGATTGTGAAAACTATTTACACAAACACAGTTGTTCGTTAACTGAGCTTAGGTGCTGGCCAATGTCGATTTATTGCATAAGTTCGCTTAAATATTTCTATAGTGATAACTAAGCCATGTTTTCTTAATATTTTAATTTCGGTAAGGAGCGGTAAGAATGCCACGCCTATAAAAATTGTATAAAACTATTCAAGAGACGTACAAGGGGAGATGAATTTATATTTTTGATACATTTATATAAAAAAGATTATATATTATATTTCAAGCAAAGCACTTGTATGAATATATATGGAAAGAGAATATTCTTTTTATATAAGAGTTACTCTCACTGTTATTAGCAATATTTTTTCGTTTTTAATGAAAAAGGAATTTAATGTGAACGATCGCTTTAGCGAAAGTGAATTCTCCTTTTGCGCTTTCTCACGTTCATGTTTATTTAGCACAAGCCATTTCGCATTTCTTCACTCATTTAAAAATTTACAAATTAACGATGTGTTTCCTAAATGTACACACACACACACACACACACACACGCACACACATACATACATACACTTTCACATTGCGTTGTTGTTTCACTTTGCCATTTTGCCCTATTTAACAATTCATTAAGTATGAAAGCGCTTGTTTTCCGATAACAAATGAACTTGAACGCATAAATAATTACTAACCAAAAAAGCGGGTGAGAAATTATTAAAAGTTTTCGCCATCAATTACATGCGAAATGAAAAGAAACAAACAAAATGAAAAAAAAAAAAAACGAATGAAACACTAAAATGCCGTTATATCAAAGACACCGAGAGTCATAACTTAACTCCAATTCTCGAAACTTTTATGACTTTTTGACTTTGGCAACGTAATCGTTTGTCGAGAAAAGTTAAGTGAATGATGAGTGTTAGGACAAAATAATGCCAAAGTATCAGTGACAGAAAACTTTTTTTTCAAATTAGAAAATGTTGCCAGTTATTGACTTGCACAACACGTGAATACATATGTTTTGCGAATGGTTGATGAAAACACATTAATCCTCCTTTTGTTTCGTTCGTAACATTTAAAAAATTTAAGTAAAAAGGTCTTCAATTTCAAGCTTCCCGCGTTCCTGATTAATGCGGAAAAGCTTGGTCGAATTAGTCGCTTTCTAGTTGCTTGTCCATGAACTAACCCTGCTTTTCTGCTTTACGCTTGGTGGCAGAAATGCAGACATAGAGACATACATTTAGCTGAATAAAAGATCGATGTTCGCTCTCATATAACTGAATCTTTATATGGTAAAAAGATGTAATTTTTAATATTAGTAAATTGGTGTAGAGATCAACCCTGCCTTTCCTGGATACCAAAGGTATGCCTTCGCCTGAAAATAATGTGTGACGTTTGGTATTGTATTATTACCAAAACAAGTGAATATCTGTATTAAGCGAAATGATGTAAGCTATCTAATAGTCGGCCTTGCCCAACTATTATGTTCTCACTTGTTGAAGAACTTATCGGGTTTGTGGCATAGAGCGATACATTATGATTACAATATTTGAAACTGTAAGCTGTAAGTTGTAAAGCGAATGTTAACCGAGCCGCTAACAATTGGAAACATGCATAGATATAGGCAAGATACGCCAACAATCCCAGGCGCTCCATTTTCGTAAGATTCAATGAAATTATCATCAAGAGATGTTACTGTAGAGTATCACGCTATTATTCGAAGTAAAAATTATTTTTAACTAATCTAAGGTTTCTTTTAATTGGTTTTTGATTTTGCTAAAAAGACTTTTTTTTAAAAAAATTTATGTATTGAGTTCTTGAATTTTGAATCAAGTTTCTAGGTAACAAAATAAGCATAGGTTGGTAATAACCAACAAAACAGTATCCATTATTTTCAAAGCCATAATTTTCATGAAAGTCAATGATCCTGTTTGTGTGTCAGTTTTGAACTAAAAGCCAACGCACTTTAAATAAATTGAATTAAAAAAAAAGGAATTGAGATAAATTATATAACGCTGCTTAGTAAGTTGTCGATTCTTAGATATCGTCCCGAGACAGAAAAGTGCATCTTATTGACCTTACGCAATATATCGAAACGAAAAGTGTGCGCCTCGATATCTCGAAGGTGTAATAACCTTATTAGTAAGGACGTCACATTAAAACGTAAATTGTTGTAGATCACAAAATGACAGACATAAAAATAAAGTGAGTGAGTGTGTTCGCGAACGCCATTGAAAGCTTATGCTATCGGTGATCACCACTAAGAGCTACAGCTACCAACAAACTCTAGTAAACGTAAGCAAATTACTAAAGAGGAAATGACCGCAATAAGTTAAGGGCTTTACATGATCAGTCAATAGCATGACAATGTGCTTAATGTGTGCGGCAAGTTCATCTAGGAAGCGCTGTAACTTGTTATCCATCGCTCTCTTTTCACAAGGATATATTAAGTTGCAACGTCCAAGAGGACTTGAGATAGGCTCACTACTTAGTATGCCGAAAAATGATTCTGAACAAACCGCAATTTTGCAAATATTTTCATGAAAGTTGGTACGATGACGTATAGGATAGTGGATGGGCTGGGCCCCACTGCAATATTTTTCTTTGGTTTTTTTTTCGATAAACACCGAATTCTACTAAAAACTTTTAAGGTGCATCTATAAATAAAGTTGAAAAAGAAGGTAAACCAAAATTTGGGCTGTGGTCCTATATGTAGCAAATACAATTTATGATGTGGAACCTATAATAAGAACAAACAAGCCGAACATTACTATATTGTACGCATATTGTGGTATAGGGTGTATTGAAGTTGTGCGAATGTATTTAACACACAAAACGGCTTAAGGTAGATTCATCTTTTATTATATTCATCGCTTCACAATCACTCTTTAAGGCTTATGTTTCAGTTTGCCTATCTAACGTCTGGCTAAGTATTTTTGTATTCAGCTTGAAGGCTTTGATTTTTCAGATATTTTTATAAAATATACTACGCGTGCAAGTGCTTCGACTCCAGAACCTGCTCTACTAAAAACAATATCTATTGGTGCTCCCCATACGGTGGCTTCTTTTGCAAAAGTCCCATCAAAAAAATTTGGAATTTTCGGAATTTCTTTACAAATATTACTCACTAATGGTGTTTGGTCATATTAAATTGATGTGGAAAATTGGAATCGGATGGCACGATTTTTTGAAGCCTCTATCTTATCTACGGCCTTTCCTATGAAAAGTTAACCTTTGTTTGACAAATAAGTCTAATTTTTAATATATTATGATTAAAATTGATGCAATTGAAGCAGTTTTTTGTAAAAGTAAACTAAAAAAAGAAGAAAATTTTTGTTAAAAATGTTTGGTGCATGAAAAGTGTAAACTTATATATCGCAAGAAAACCCAATTTTTGATACCTTACGACGAATATATGAGATGGGATAAGATCTTTGATAAGAAAATTTATTTTGTTAAATGTGGACTACGTCGGCTTTAAACCTATCATATCCTCTGAAAATAACTAAAATTATTTGCATTACGTTAGATTGTGTAGGGTATTTAATGCTTGGTTTCGCCAAACCATAAGACTTTTACTTCCTTTTTTGAATTCTTTCGTTTAATATTTCATGAGCGCGAGAAATGAGTGATAAAAGAATGAAATGGAAAATATTTTAACATAATAAAATATTCTAACATATTTTCTATCATTTGCTTACCTATCCACGTAATAAAAGACTAAGCTAATATACAATCCCAAAGGTACATTATGGGAAGCTTTTAAGACATGGAAGTATAAAAGGGCATCTCATAAATATTATTAACTGTAAGTACTGTCACACAAATCAAACACACTTCGAAACATAGGTAATTTGGTCTATACACAAAGCACTGCACTGGTAAATTTAAAGCAAAATGTTTAACGTGAGAACGATGATGAATAACTTAAGTAAAAATTGTACGATTGCACGATGTGCAAGTTTATGTATTTTTTAGTTGCAAGATAAAGTTGACTGTAAGATCTAATTAATATTGAATGCCGAGTAAAATCTCTTTAAAAGAGGGAAAAGGAAATGCTGCGTAATTCAGAGAAATACTAACACAAAGAAAATAAACCAACTTTGATGTCTTTCGCTTGCACTATGATCAATATTGTTTTAACAGCAAGCAGATATGCCCGAAGTCGCATTTTCATTATGGAATTCCAACAAGAAATTTCCTCTTTCCTTTCTGCTCCCTGTCATTTGCATGTCAAACTGAAATTCTCCAATTAAGATATTCGAATCTAAAAATTACATGTTGGAATCATTATTTTACGAATTGCAATGATATTTAAATCACCGTTTAAAACATGTACCGATAACGGTACACGCGGCTCGGCGATTAGTTTTCAATGAGTATCCCAATCGTGAGCTAGATATTTTGCCTCGTTGTCTTCATAAATAATAAATACATTATGGCGTTTGAATATTTATAATTAAGAGAAATACATATTTTTTTCTCATAAACAGGGAACATGTGAATAACGATATCATCTATGAACAATGTATATTCAACATAAAAATGAGATGGAGATAATCACAAGCCGCACAACAGCTTGTCGCAAAACAACGACTGCTGCAGGTGGTCTCCGCGAGGCGCCGAATCAGCGACACGTAAAAAAAGCACTCGCCGCTGGATGTGTACCTTTCTACAGCCATTAGAACAGTAAAAGCATTATTTCCGGATTTTGTACCGCTGGTCAATACAATAAAGTGATAGGTTTCCTCCACAATACGCCTTAAAAAGGCAAATCTGCAAAGGCCCTAATCGTTCACTACTCTGCTCTGTCACAGCTTTGCTCTTGAGATTTTGCACGATAATCTCTCCCCCAAAGTTTTAAGGATTTCGCTTATCTCGAGGTTCCACGAACGAAAATTGCATTTCTGATCTAAGGTAGTGCTATTCTTAAGTAGGCTTCTGTTCTACCTTAAAAATCTAAGTTGGTAAGTAAAAGTATTGTATCCGCCTAGAGATAGTTCTATATACCATCCAGTGTAAGCAGTGCATAGGAGTCTAAAAGTTTTGTGTTAAATACCGGCACCTTAACAGCTAAATGGAGATTATTGTCGTAATACAATCTTCGAGATGATTATAATAATATATAGTTGTATTAAGGGACTCTTTTTCTTTTTCAAAACTTTCTATTCCGAAATGTGAATGCTTTGTGGTCCGTTCACTAATAAAGTTAATCTATGATTCCCAAGTTTCAACTATCCCTACAAGTACAACTAGCTTTTAGGTCATCAATAAAAAAAATATGTCTTCGTTGGTAAGTATAAAAGTTTAATTTTCATGAACTGTTGACATTTGCATTCATTCTTATCATTTACAAAAATGAAACAAAACGAGATTTTGCTTTAGTGTTTACTTTCATTTCCGCCTAAAAATTCTGTGATTAATTACTTTTCAGGTAAAAGCTTAACATTAAAACTTCGTATTGCCGGCATTAATCATGACTTACGTAGACGGCAGGATATCACGTAAAACAAAACAAGTAACAAAAACGGTATGTGCTCAGTATTTAATCAAGCTTATCTATAAAGGAATGTCGCGTTAAGCATCATTTATTACAATTTTATAAGTTTTTGTTTGGGCTCTGCGGTCTTTAGATAAAATTCTAATTGTTTTCTTTTCATTTGGTTTCATTTCTCAAAATGGTGGGTCGCGTAGAGAAAGTATCCTTACAAATGTTGCGAAGTGTATTTTACGCATTTTCAAGTGTAAACTTTCCGTGTCCCCCTGTAAGGGGGCAAAATGCGATGCCTTAGTGTCTTTAATCACTTTTACATTTCAAAAACTTTGCAAGACTAACATATTCGTCTTTATATTTGTTTGTGTCTCGAATTTCAATAAACTTTGCTCTCTTTGGAGGCTATGGCGGCACGGATTGAAATTCTCTTCTAAATATTTGAGTTAAGGTGCTTCTTTGACTTAAGTACTTCCGCTTTTCAGCGGTTTCCATTGCTAATTGCTAACAGCGAATTTGTGATTGGATTTTTCTCAAGTGTAAAGTCAATTAAAAGCATGTCCACGACAGTATGCTTGCCAAGCTTCAGGCTTTCATTTCGATAAGCGACAAATACCCGAAGAGAGAAATGGATGGATGGATGGATGCAGAAAAATATGAATGTCGAGAAGATGATACACCTAATAAGACCTATTCAACGAAGAGCTAACATTAGCACCCCATTACCAGCAGAGATATATGTGGAAACTCTATCTGTTATTATCGATATCGTATTTTCGACGCGACAATAACTATAAGGTTTACGAAGTTTTAAAGAATCATTTCTTTTTTCCTTTTTCTTAGTATGACCAATCACATAGGCGTTGTCACCTGTTCGTGTCACAGATTGTGACATGGGTTTGACGTGGGTTCCTGCCTTAATGGCTTAACCGCACGGTGGCCCAAGCCGCGCGGATTATTTAAGCGTAATCCATGCCCCCTGGCGAGTTAGACAATCCCTATAAATTAGGGCACTAAACCGCACCAGAGTCCAGATTGTTTATTGCGTATGGATCAATAAACCCGCTCTGGTCATTGTTGAGGTCTATTCGCACCTCGATTTGTTCCACTTTGGCATGGAACGGATGAAAACCACAACCACCACGAGTACTCCCTGAAGAGCCGCACCCAAGCAGTCAGGGCTAACAAATTGATCAACTTTATGCGTTCAAAAAGGGAAAGAAAAATGCGCTTGCTACCACCATAAGGTTTCCACAAGCGCAGTTGATCAATTACCACCAATAACCGCAGGCATCCGTGGATATAAAATTTAAAAAGTGTAAAGTAGGCAAAAAGGGTAGAAAAGCCTGCCGTCAAATCCCTTTTATATCATTCATAATTGTATTCGTGTAACAGTTTGACGATCATAAGGAAGTGAAGTAAAAGAAGTGAAGAAAGAGAAGGAGATAAGCAAGTGCTGGCTGCAGCCTAGTGGCGGTGCCCAATCAGTAAGTTTTGTCCCTTTATCGACTGAACATTCGCTATAGCTACGGCCCAAGTTAACTCTAACATACTCAAGGTTTCAACCTATGAACCATGAGATCGTAGACGCATTGCCCGCCTTGCATTTAAAATTCACGGATATGGAAACAGATCTCAGTTTACATTCAATATCTGTCCAGATCTTTGACAAGTTTGCAAGTATTATCAAAAAGGATCGATTTTATAAATCGAAGAGTAATCACTTCTCATAACCTCTACAGATCTTTGAGAGGTCACTTGATATAATGATGATAACGATGTCAAAATGGAAAAGGAACATTTTGGTCAATGTAAAGAAAGATCTACAGATCTCCGTTATATTGTATGTGTCATTATTTTTATTTTTTTTATTTGAAACTTACCGCGAAAGATGGCAGCTACTGTTAGATAACGACCATGTCTGGGATCGCAAGCAGTCATCATATTTTTAGCATCAAACATTTGTTGAGTCAATTCCGCGACGGTCAAAGCGCGATACTGTTGAGAGCCTTTGGCCGTCAATGGAGCAAAACCGGGCATGAAAAAGTGTAAGCGTGGAAACGGTACCATATTGACGGCAAGCTTACGTAAATCGGCATTCAATTGACCAGGAAAACGCAGGCAAGTAGTAACACCGGACATGGTAACCTAATTGAATTTGAGAAAGAAGTTATTAAAGAGATTATACACACACGCACCCACTGTCAATAAAAATTCATTTATAAAAAGATATTTAATTAATATGCACGCGCCATTCTTTCAGTTGAGTGAAATATGTTTCATTCATTTGTTGTTGATTGCGTTTTCTAAATTTGCCATCGTTGATGGTCGGATAAAACAAAGGTTGGATTATTTAATTTTTTTATTTATTTTTTTTATTTTTATTTTTTTTTTATTTTATTTTATTTTGTTTTTATTGGCTTTTTTTCTTTGTTGTAATTATAGAATACGTGTAGAATACAATTAAATGTTCATCCATATATGTTGCACGTGTTTGTTGGCGCGTGTGTATATTTATTGTATGCAGAATATTTAATTATCTTCCAATATATATATAAAGTACTTGTTGTTATTATTTTTAAATTAATTTTTTAATTATTTTGTCATTTTTGTCAATTTGTCCATTTGCATTAGCGCCACTGTCAGCATAACGTGTTGCATATTTAAATAATTGCCCCTGAAATGCCTTTAAGCTCTTTAGTTATATTTCCTATATAGGTTTTTTTTATTGGTTTGGCGCGAAGTAAATTCCCTCCTACTACACTAACTCTCGTTCTCTATCACGCGTTCGGAACTTTATTAAAAACGTTCGAGTGGCGTGTAATTGCAAGAGAAAGAATTTTATAAAAAATTTTTTTCGAAATTATTTTTTTGCCAACCTATTATTATTTGATGTTATCAGTTACCAAAAGTTTTTACGTTATTTCCTATTATTCAATTGTTGCTGCTACGAGAGTGATTTGTCTGCCTGCCAGTTGCAAATACAATTATCGTCACATTCACGTACACGAAATTGATGCTTTGAAGTATGTTAAGAACGTGTATATAGATATGTGTTGTATATGTGTTTATATGTGTTTATAAATATGTACACATTTCAATTAATTTACTCGTTTGCCCAATTTGAATTTAATAGAACGTGATAAATAAATGAAATAGATTTTTTTTTTTTTTTTTTTTTTTTTTTAGTTAGAAGCTTTGTTAATTGAAAATTGCATCTATTGCCTCAGAAATAGTGGTAAGAGTATCTCTTTGGAAATCAATTGGAAATGTTTATAAACGCGGTCATTAATTTACTATTTTATGTGCCTTCATTAGTTACCTTTCACTTGAAACATCTCACTACAAAATATGTCGTAGCATTACGTGATTCGCATATAATTAAAAATTTGAAAGTTCGCATATAATTAAAAATTTGATAAGTCCGATTTTCTTAAATTCTTTTATGCTTGAATTTCTAGCTAAACGCTCTTTAAGTAAACAAATGCTGAATGAGTAGCTTAGCTTAAACAAATTGAGTGAGAAGGAACCTCTTCTATAAGATGCCGTCTCTAGTTCCTATAAAATACAGGAATTTTGATATAAATTGTTTTCACCTGTACAGGGGAAGCCTGCAAGCAAGGCAACTGATATACAAAAAATCTATGGAGCTATACTTAAAAAATTGTTTTTGAATCAGAATTATACCGTTTCTGTAGTATTTCGGTACACTGGGAACTTTTTTCCACCGTTATTATTCTTTATAATGCATTTCGATAATAAAATTTTTCAAATTTTAAATTAATATCACATTTCCTCGGGTAAGAAAGGTTAAAGGATAAAGTGGTTTATTAATTATTTACAGATAAAAAGAGCTTAAGGCCATATCAAAACCGCTTATCAGAAATGCTTAGACGAATGGAAGAAGCGCTTGCGCAATTGGTGGATTACTTTGGAGAAGATAAAATACATATTGATGAAAGAACATATATATTTCGAGAAAAGTCCCAGTTTTTGTTGAACAAACCCCGCATAACGAAAAGAAAATTTGTGAAATGTAAATCATATTAACGTACAGTGAATATGTCAATTATCAAATAAGAAAAGATTTTCTCTCTCTTAGATATACGAATATATATCTCAAGTATTTCTAAATGTATATCGTATTTTCGGACGGCAAGAAAACCAATTAACAACGAGAAAGATGTCTTTCGACAATCAAACAAAAATTCATGCCACCATATTTGATATAAGTGATGTCTAAAGTAAAAGATTCTCAGACGCCAAAATCTGACATGAATGTATTTGCCTGTGGTCAAGTATTATCGGTATCATTGATAATGATGAAGCGGGTAGAATCTGTACTATTACTCTATCACTTTCGAACTGTCATCTGTAAATGGTATTTTATACGATACGTGATAACTGATTTTTTATATCAAATTTTGCTATCATTTAATATATTTGATATTCTCCTTCGTTTGGCTATATGTACAATGCAGTTGAACAGTGTGGCATTAATTAGAACATAATGGCCATATTAACGTGTACTGAATGTAAACGAATGTATGTGTATGCGTATGGTAACACATATATGGACGCGTACGTACAAATTGATGGCGCATATGTGTTTTGCGTGCATTTAATTACTTAAGGAGACCAGATGATTTAGATCCTCATAGGAGGTGGAATATGTGGAAGGCGTAAATGTTGATAGCAAATGTCATACAATGCCTCATTATCGATGTAAAATGTTAGATCTGTTTTCTCATACAGTTGATGGGCTGACAATGTGGCATTGTAGGATTTCACAACATCAGTAGCAACGATAACAATAGCAAAAACATCAATAACAACAACAATAATAACAAGAGAAAACCACTTTTAACACCTGTGCTGTTTTTGGAGAAGCCGTTTGTTAAATGCGTGTACTTGTGCGTTTGTGCGTAAATATCCACAAATTAGGAAATGCATACGAAATATAATCACAAATTGTACAGTCAGTCGGAGCCCCATACGGCCATTAAAATCATTCGTTTCGTTTTGGGGAAAACATTTTGTTGCTGCTGTTGGTGCTTTTGTTGGTTGCTTGGTTGGTTGGTTTGTGCCTCTTGTTTGCTTTTATTTGTTTGTATGGATTCACACATTTGCCAAATACGGCCAACCGTAATACATACACACATTCATGGTCATAATGATGTTTACATAACCAGCAACCATTCATTATATTTGTTGTTGTTATTGTTACTGTTGTTGTTGTTGTTGTGTTTGCTGTTGCCGTTGCTATTAAATTATATTTGCGTATATGGAAATATATATATATATAGATTCTCTTAAATTGGACACGTTATGTAAGCAAGTCTTTTGAACTATTGATATTTTGTATATTAAAGCGGGCTAAAAAATACCGAGCTTACAAAAAACTTTCATTATAGTCTCTTCCAGTTGTCTAAACTCTCATTCTACTTTACACACTGTATCCAATGTAAATATCAATTTTCGCGAAAATTAAGATAACATTAAAAAAAAGGCTTAATTCCAGCTATTGTTCAAAGAAAGCCTCCGCCCTATTGGCGCATATTAAGAACGCTTCGTATGCTTATACGCATACTTTTATATATGCGTGATGCATTATAATGAGGATGATGATGATGATGATGACGACGGTATCGCGGGTGAATTCAGTTGGTTTTCAGATTCCGTTTCACGTTTAGAGACCGATTCATGGTTTGGCGCGTGCACTTTAACAAAGGAAGGAAAGAAAATCCATTAGTTTGATATATTATAGATGTTCAACTTACAGACACAAGGTGATTCAAATCACCGTACGTGGGTGAAGCCAACTTCAATGTACGAAAGCAAATGTCATATAGGGCCTCGTTGTCAATGCAAAAGGTTTCATCGGTATTCTCGACAAGTTGATGAATGGATAAAGTTGCATTGTACGGCTCGACGACTGTATCGGAAACCTGTTAGTAAGTCATTGTTGTTGTTGTTGTTGTTGTGTTTGACAAAATTATGCATGTGATATGCGGTGTGGCCAAGAGGCGTAACATTCATCCATGAGCAGCATTAATTTAAGTACCATTTTGTAGTGAAGCATTCGCCAGCAACGGTTAAGTGTTTGTAAACATATTTACAAATGCAAATGGTTGGAGTAGCCATCGTTCAGGTGTTGCATAAATGAAATAAAAAGAGACGGAGAGAGAGAAACGTATGAATTTTAAGGATTGAAAATAAAAAAAGGAAAGACAAAGAGCTTTGTATTCCTTTCGGAGGTGATTCTGGATTACCCACCATTCAATCTGTATCTATGCTAAATAGAGAGCAATTACTTAAGCTATTTATTTGAAAATTTATATCTAATATCTTCATGTACTAGTGATGTAAAGAAATTGACAAAGTATAAGATATATTAAAGACTTTAGCCTGTGGAATTTAGCCTGTGACGAATCATTGTCAATGACAGATGCGGAACTTTGCAGAAGACCCATATAGTCAGCTTGTGCGTTCATCCACGGTGAATATAAGCAAATTGGTTTAGTACGCTTATGGAAAGCGGAGCTCGTCTTGAGTCGTTATATTTATGGAAAAAATTACATTCGCCTTGAAGTGAACTCTTATCTTGAGAGACTAAAAGGAAATCGACAAGATAAGTATACGAAAAGAGGTATTTATTTTGAAATTTAAAACTGCGTCAGGCTTGGAGAGTATTCTTATTGGCAACCAATGCCTAAGTACATAATGAACCTATCTTGAAGAGAACCTTGAATAAGTAACGTTCGCTTCGTTTTGATTAATTGACATTAGACGTTTAGAGTTATAATCTTTTCCCTAATGCGAATTCGCCGTAGACCATTTTTAAAGTTGATTAACTTTATCAACGACTAAGAATATATAGAAGCTCTCAATTGTCCACGTATGAGTATTCTAAACGGTAAGCAGATCATTAGGCGGACAGATGGGGAAGCAAATGAACAGACACACAGAAGCACAGAGAGACAAGCAGAGTCACAGAGGGGCCAACGTATAAGTTGATAAGAAAATAAACGGACAGACGGGAAGCAAGATAGACAGCCAGACTGACGTACAGACGGACAAACAGCGATCTAGGTGGACAGGCATACAAGGAGATACATGGACGGACGGACAGACAGACAGGCAAAAGTCTAAAGGGATGGATTGGCGAATAAGCGGGCAGACTGGCAGGAAGGTAGAAAGCCAGCGAGAATGAGCCACAAGCAGAGGCATGGTCGGACAGAAATCCAGACGGTTGGCCTCGCAAAAAGAGGGTCGAACAGATAGACAGGGTGCCAAATCGATAAACGCGCGGATAGACAAAGTTGACTAATGCATTGGCATGTTATACTGATTAACAGCAAATACATATGAAGGGCTCGCTATAACAATGTTAAGAAGAGATAAACGAAAATTCATGCCTATGTCTTTATATAGGGATATACAGCGTGCAAATACATAAATGGTTTTACTATTTCAATAAAATTTTTCAGCTTTGATTTTATATGGAATGTATGCAAACGATGTAAGTAAGGATTATATGATACTAATATTAATCAATAGGTCGGAATTTCATTGCAAGAATTTAACACAATTTATAATAATTAATTTAATTGAATTCACATAAGCCCAAAGAACAAAAATTATTTTATATTTTATTTTATTAAAATTTGGAAAGAATATAGGTTTAAACGTACATACCTACCATATGCAGGTACATGAACTCATAAACTAATTTACATGTTAAATATTAATGCCGAAGAAAAATCTTATTAATATTGGATATGTGTAGATTGCATTAGTTATGTGTGCGTGCGTACGTTTATGTAGGCGCGTGTATACGCTTATGTTATTGTGTGTCTATTTAATTTTCACACTTGTGTATTTATGTATATATATATATATATATGTATATATGTATATACGTACATATATATATATATATATATATATATTCATATATGTATTATACATAAATATAATGTGAAAATTGGAAAATTTTGCCATGAAATATAAATATGATTATCGATAATGTTCCCTAATTGATTACTTAAATGCACCAAATGACCGAACATGGCCACATGCTGAGCAAAAGCTATGCATGCATTTATGCATGCAACGAATGACATTATGCACATGTACATCTTGTATATACGTACGTATACGATGTATCCCTGGTATGCATCTACCATTGTACATGTATAAAAACGTTTGTGGTTGTATGCGTTCAGTTCTGTTGTGTAGAATATTTTTGTGCAATTTTGCTATCATTAGTTATTTCAATTTAATTAATGAAATTTAATACATACGCATACATGCTTACATATCTATATACATATAAATATAAATATGTATATAAATTGACAATTTATGATAATCAAACTTTTATATATTTTTATATGCAAATTTTATGTATAATAATGATAATAAGTACATAGATACCTAAGCAGGCACTTGCAAATATAAATAAAAATTAAAAAAAAAAAAAAAAAAAAAACCGATTCATAGTATAACTCCAAGCACGTGTGCGAGTGTGTATGGGCGTGTGTGGGTGTGTGTGTGTGTGTGCGTACACTAAGTATATCTGTTTATGTCTGTTTGAAATTTATTTAGACCTAAAATAACACCTGAATATAATCAGCGGGACAACTAACGATAACAATAACAATAATAAAACCAATAACAATAACAAAAGTAGTGAAAGAAGCCAGATTTAATAATTAGAACAACAGCATATATGCATGTACATGCATGTGTTTGCATGTCGCTATAAAATCATATATATATTAATACATATATATACATATATATATATATATATATATATATAATTATATAAAGTATAATAAAGCGGTAATTACATTTTTGGAGAATAGTTGCTGTTGTAAACTAAAACTGATGAAAAGAACTGCTTCAGTGAAAACAATGAAGAAATTTCTACATTATACGTATGTTCGCCCTTGGATTCGATATGTGGGTACAGTATTCAATATTCGCCATAAAATTTTCATTGAATGTGAGGCTTTCGTAATTGGCTTTTGCAATGGATTTTAAGGCCATTAGCAAATATTTACCGCAAATTTTTTACATCCGCTTTATAAATTATTGTTAACAACATTTTGAAGTTTTAGGTTTTTCTAGCTTTTGAATAATGCTTGGCATGTTTTTGTAGCCTAATTACGCTAGGTAATTTTAAATTTGATTTACTTATTAAATTTTAAATCAATCTACAGCATACTAGCCTTAGTAATCTAATCATTTTCGGGCAGAGCTATTACATAGGGGGGAGGGGGGCGAAAAGGCGCTAGACGAAGAGATTTGTGTCACAATATTTTCCTTTGTAGTCTAATCGTTTTGCCGATAAAAGCATTGTGTAAAGAGAGGGAAGCGGGAAGCGGACTGAACCTTTTATTCCCATGGGTGGGCGTGGCTGATTTTTTCCACTTTTATAGAACAATTTTGAGGAAATTTACATCGTTTTCTGTTGCAGTTTATGAGCAACAAGCAAAAAATGCGAGAGACAAAGGTGTTCTTAGCTTTGGTTGTACGTACGCCCACATACATAAGCCACGTGTTCCGAATTTGAAATTATCAAAAAAATTCATATGCTTTATGGGATTTTTGAAACTCGTTTCTACGCGTTATAATCGTCTTGAACAAAGATTTAAAATTTTGATGCATTTTAATACCGGGTGAGCGGGGCAAATTATTCCCATTTTCGTAGAGGTATTAGAGCGTCGCCAACAGAATATATGTACAAATTTATCTGGTGTAGTTTTTGAGTTATTAAGCAGAAGTGTCCGCAGTTCGCTTGTATTGTTTTCGACCGATTTAGCCCATTTTCCATGCCAACTTGGGTCGAAAAACTTCTAATGTTCTTGCAAAATTTAAAGTCGATAGCTTCATTTTTGCGGTCAGGAGAATGTTTACAAGAGACATCACAAGAGTGACAGGCGGCCTTGCTTAAATCGATTCAGTATTTGATGTTGATCAAAAATATATGTATTCTGTAGGATCTCTGGCGCTTACTTCTGGGCGTTACAATTGTTTTGACAAAACGAATGTACCCCTCATTCTTCGGGAATGGGTATAAAAAGCCAGTGCTAAATTCCAGACCATTTTATAAGATATTTAATTCGTTTGCTGACCGGGTCTTCTGGGAAAATCAACCACCGGAGCCAAAGACTTTTTAAAGTCAAACGAATATGTCACGGCGATGTGAGATCGAAGAGATGGCTTTATCGCCTAATATACGAACGAGTTAAGGCAGAAAACCACATGCCACAGTTTTGTATTTTAATTATAATAGAAATTTTCATCAAATTTTAATTGAACTTAGTGAAAATGTAATTTTCTAATGCATACTTTCCGGTGAATAACATCTGTTAACAACAAGGCCACAGCGACAGCCATATGATTTAATTTAATTTGTTACCAGAACTTGAATACTTTTGATTTAGTTACTATATCTATCAAATAATTTTATGATTTTCCTTCATTTTTGAAAATGAAATGATCATAGATATGACCATGCGCTTCTCTATAGAAACGCATATATGACACATACATTGTGGAGCATTGTGGTAATAACATGCAAATGAATTTCTTACCTAAAATGACTAATTGTTTCGAAGAGTATAGCAGAGATATTTAAATATAATAAATGACCAATTTTCTTAGCATTATCTATGCTTATATGTGTACATATGTGCATATATATATAGCTTATATACCATTGTCTTGATATACATAAATAAAATATACATATGCTATGTCTATATGTATGTATATATACATGTGTTTATATGTACGTGTATGGAAAACATGAGAAATGCATTTATATTAGTCGGTTAGTACGTAAGTACACGGATGTCAGGTTGTATGGGGGTGTGTGTTGTCGAACATTATATCGTTATTAGGCCTTAAGGTAAATGTCGCTCGATGTTGACTG